AGTAATTCTTCTACCAATAACAGATTTTAATGACATCACTGCTTACATCTCACCACCCCAACTGCTGACTTTTTATGGAATTTGTATATGGCGCATTAATAATGTGTTGTGGGGCCTGCACGCTAGCTGTTCCTTTATTTTGTTCATATGGAGAGTGTGTGTGCATGCATGAACTCCACCTTTATTTTCATGGCCTCTGGATTTTGTGTTATGCTTAGAAGAGCCTTTGAAGATTATAGATGTTTTAGTCCTATTTTTTCTAGTGTTTTTATAGGTTTGAGTCTATGTACTTAAATTCTATATTCCTGTGGTTTTTGTTTTAATGTAAGTACAGTGTAGGGAGCAAGTTTTATGTGTTTCCATATGGCTAGCTACATGTTTCAATAGCATTTATTGAAAAATCCATCTTTTTCCCAATCCTTTAAAATTCACCTTATAATTCAATTTTCATACACTGAGTCTGTTTCTGGAATTTATGCCTTTTAATTCATCTATTGGTCTGTTTCTATGCCAATACCAGGCTATTTTAATACCACAGTTTAATAGTACACTTTGATAATATCTTAGATCAAATTCCCCCAATCTATCCCTTCTTTTCTTTTTCAAAAGCATATTGTAAATTTTTTGGGGTTAATGTATTTCTGAAATGGCTTCCCTGAACACTTCACTTCACTATACTAACTAGAATGGATTCTTCCTTTCTTTAATATTCTTCAGAAAGTGAATTTTAGTGCTGCTCATTCCAGTAAAGCAAGATAAAATCAGTGCCAGGTTTTCAAAGACAGTGTCTATCTGTTCTTCAGAGCTTCTGTTGAGAAGCCATGTGGCCACTGGTGCTTTAGCTCCCTCTAACCAAATGGAAAAGCCCCTTTCACATCTGAGCACCAAGATCTTTGGAATCTTGGCCATGTCTGCAAGCAAGATCTAGTCTAAAGCCGAATTACACGGTCTAGGACACATTCCAAATGAGGTATTATTGCTCTCCCATTCTGAGCTGCTATGGCCATCCCATTCAAAAAAGAGCCAAGGAAGTTCTTTTCAAAAGCAGCTGAAAAAGCTATAAACACTGGTTAAATCATTAATGCCTGATTTTAAAAAATTCCCATATTTTTACACCCAGAAATCAACCTTGGTTAACAGATCAAACCACTCACAAATGTTAAATCCCAAAGAAATGGAATCAGAATCTTCCAGAGTGGGACTCAGAATTCTGTATTTTTACAAACTCCCCAGGTAATTCTGATGGATCCAATCATTGGATCAGACTCAGGGAAACTACTGTGAATTATACTACTTTATCCTCACTAACTTCATCTGTAAAATGGGAGCAAGAAATATCTATTTCATTGAATTGTTAAGAGTGATACCCAATATGTATTGAGTCTTAATTGTATGCCAGGCACTGTGCTAAGGGCTTTCCATCTATTATCACATTGAACTCTTATACCTATAAAGTAGATACCAGATTATCCCCCTTTTACAGATGAGGAAACTGAAGTACAAATAGTGTACCCCAATTTGACAAAAGGCATCCAGCTAGCAAGTGTGGAGGGCAAGCATATCAGCTGCTAGGGTTAATGTGAGGATTATATTAAATAATGTATTTAAAGCATCTGGTACACAGTAGGCGCAAATAAATGCTCTCTCTTACCTCCCTTTTATCTGCATGATTCTACTTATGCCCAGTAAAATTTACATTGAGAGCAACACTTTGACCTTAGCAGTCTCCTAAGAATGGAAAGTTCAGTATTCTGGAAAGTAGAAAAGGGAAGGTAGGTGGTAGTGGAAAGAGGTGTTTGGGATCTCCAACAGAGAGAAACACAAAGTGTAATTACATAGGGAAAAACAGGTGCACGTGAGGGAAAACAGTTGCTTGCCCACTGAAGGTAGAATAAGGCAGGGAGATAACCTTTAAAAGAGGAACACCAGGGTTCAAGATGAGAATCTCAAAGGAACAGAGTCCAAAAAGACACCTATTTCATCCCCTCCCACTGCATGGTAGTCTGATTTCCACTTGGATATTTTCTGTGACAAGAAACTTAATTGATCAAGGCAGAGGAGGCTCTAGCTGTCAGAAAATTCTTCGTATTAATTCATTCTAGAGTTTCTACTCATAGGTTCTCCTTTGGCCCCTTAATGCCCTGAAGAATAAGTTTAATTTCTCTTCTATTTGGCAGTTCTTCACATATATCAAGACAGTTACCTTGTACCCCTGGGGCAAAATCTTCTGTTTCTTTCAATATTTCCTCATATGACATAGTTTCTAACCACTTTACATCCAGGTCCCTCTACTTGTGCATGCAGATAATTTCTTTTTGCAATGTCTTAGTTGCAGACAACACTTCATGTGGGTACAACACTGGGCGGCACAATAACACATATCTTGCTTTACATGTCAGACTTCCATTGATGCAGCCTAAGAGCATTTATTTTTTTTTATTATTTATTTTTTGAGACAAAGTCTTGCTCTGTTGCCCAGAATGGAGTGCAGTGGCATGATCTCGGCTCACTGCCAACATCTGTCTCCTGGGTTCAAGCAATTCTTTTGCTTCAGCCTCCTGAGTAGCTGGGATTACAGGCATGCACCACCATGCCTGGCTAATTTTTTAATTAATTTATTTATTTTTAGTAGAGACAGGGTTTCACCATTTTGGCCAGGCTGGTCTCGAACTCCTGACCTCGTGATCCACTCACCTCTGCCTCCCAAAGTGCTGGGATTACAGGCGTGAGCCACCACAACTGGCCCTAAGAGCATTTATTTATTTTGGCAGCCACAATTCACTGTGAACTCAGATTATTTGTCACCTAAGACCCTTTATCTTGCTCCTATATGCACCTAAGGCACCTCTGCCTCCAGCTGGCTTCACATAGGGTGGGACTCCACATTTATTCCTGTTAGAGTCAGCCCACTGCTCCAATACTGTATGTGGCTAGTGTTACATAATAGTGCATCTTTCCCTCCTTGCTTTGTGTTATCTGGACATGTGATGCAAATCTTCCGGATTTTCCTTCAGGACACTGATAAAAGTCCTGATGTCTGGACCTAGAAGAGAGGCTTCTGTCTTTCTGAGGGGAACTGGTGTGGTATACAGGCTTTGAAATAAAAAGAAAAAATCTGGTTTGCATCATGGCTCTGCCACCTACTGTGTGACCTTCAGCCAGCTGGCTAAATTCTGAGTTTCAGTTTCTTCATCTGTAAAATGGGGCAATAAAAACTTCCTCACAGTGTGGTTATAAAGATTAAGGGAGAAAATGTGGGGAAAGTACTTAGCACAGTGTCTGGTATGTAGTAGGTGCTGCTGGAATGTTGATTCCCTGCACTCTTCCTTTCGGTCACCGTGGACTCATTAATCAGCATCTTTAGGTTATGGTTAATTAACCAGTTATTAGTCCAATTAATGATATCCAGTCCATATTTCTTCATCTTGTCCACGATATCTTGTCAAGTGCTTTGCTTAAGTCCCACTTACCTAGAGTGATCTCCTCATGAAATGTGGGCAGAGACCAAGTAGCAATAAGATTCCATCTGTGTGTAAACTTAGGAAAAACATCAAGCTACTGATGAAGTTGGTTGACCTTGAAAACAGTCAGCATTCAGACCGCAAGCACATGTTGGGCACTCGGTGCCTGTCAATGAGCTGGGGATGGGCAATGGTGTTACAAAGATTAAAACAAACAAACAAACAAACAAACAAACAAACCGTAGTGCCTGTGTTCAAGGAACTTACCAGGCTAGAATTCTAAAGTCACAGGGACCAGTCTGGGTAACAGAATTAGGCCAATTGATTTAATTCCATTTGTTCATGTATCCAGCCAACAGATATTTATGGTGCACTTGCTAGGTACCAGCTCCGCCCTCACCACTCCACCCCACCCCGGCAGGCGCTAAAGGGGAGCCGGCATGATGGATAACGAAAAAGAAGATGCTGTCCTTCTATTCAGAGAGTTTAACATCTAGAAGAGCCGGGAGTTTTTTGTGCTAAAGGCCCTCTGCTAAGTGCCTGAGATGCAAAAATCAGTCCGTTTCTCTGTCCTCTCAGCAACCGAGTCGCATGTTATTATCAAATTTTTATTTTCTGTAACTCCTTCCTTCCGTCTCGCTCCATAGACAGCTTTTTGCAGCAGAGAGCGCTGCCGCTGGGCTGGGTGTCTGCCCCACTGTAAGTGGTCAAAACCTGGCTACTGGAAGGAGATGCAATGGAATCGCTCTGCGCTCGAGTATTCTCTTTAGAACGACGGGAATGACAGCTCCAGTGGGACACTTGGAGGTCATGACGAACGCAAAGAACGTGAGAACATTTGCAGTCCTCGGGGTGGAAACGCCTTCTAGAAATACTAAGTATTCGTTCTCTCGTTTGGACTTTGGCAAACCAGGGGTTTTAGGAAGGATCTGGCACTCAGTGTTCCTAAAATTGGTTTCCTAGATGGAGCTGGAGGAAGGGGAGTCAGAACTGCTGCTTTTCGTCGGAGTGCCCCGCGTGGAGAAGGGGAAGGAGGAGGAGGAGGGGTGAGGGCGGGCGGCCACATGCCAGCCGGCAGGGAACCCAGAGAAGAGGGACATCCCGGGCGACCCCGAGGAGCGCGGCGTGGGCACCGCAGTGGCCGCGGCGAGTGGGAGACCTGAGGGGAAAGGGAGAGGGCAGGGGCGAGGGAACCCAAGGAGCGCGCGCGGATTGGTCCTCTCCTCGGGGCGTGCGCTCCTGTGCCCCAAATGATTGGTGGCGGGAAAGTAGCAGGTAAACCGGCCCCCGCCGCCTCGCCATTGGTCAGCGGCCTTTCTAGCCGCCACACAACTGGCCAGCGTTCCGCCGAGCCGCACGCGGATTGGCTGGGGGCAGCCGCCGGGACCGGCTCCCTTCGGGCGCTCGGATTGGCTGGCGGAAAGAGGCAGGTATCCGGGCGCCGCGGCTCCTCCATTGGTGGGCGGGGAAGGGGGGTTGGGCACAGCGATTGGTGGGCGGGGGGCCGGGCCTGGGCCGGCGGGGAGCGGATTGGTCGGAAAGTAGGTTAGTGGTGCGACATTTAGGGAAGGCAGAAAGTAGGTCAGGGACGGAGGTGCCTGTTTACCCGCGCCGGACTCACCGCCGCCGCCGCCGCGGGATCCGAGTGCGGGCGCGGGCGCGGGCGCTCCCGGCGAGCCACGGTGAGTGTCAGGCGGGCGGCGGCCAGCGGCGCGGCCCCGCGCACCCCGTCGGGGGCCGTTAGCACTCTCGCGGTCATTGCGCCCCTGCCGCCGCCCCGGGGGCAACCCGGCCGCCGGAGAACCCTGCCCGACGTGCCCGCTGCCGGCCTTAAAGGGCCCGTGACCGCTCCCTGCCCCCACCCGGGCCGCGGGGAGGCTGCCCCTTAAAGGCGCCGCGCCCGTCCGCCCCCATCCTCCTCTCGGGGGCTGGCGCTGCGGGTTAGGGCGGGCAGAGGTGCCGCAGGCGCGCTTAAAGGGGCCGGGAGAGTGTCCGCGGGAGTACCCACTGCCCTTCCGCGGGCATCGCTACCTGGAGGGGGAGGGGGGCAGCCAGCTGCCTCTTAAAGGGACAGCTCTGCACTTGGGGGCAGTGACTCGGCCAAGGAGGACTCCTAGATGTATCCCCGGGAGCTTCGGGGATCCCCGAGGGGACCATCCCTGGCGGCTGCCCCCCAAAGGGCTTTGGACGAACGGTGCCGTCTGCCCTTCCTCCCCGCTTCACTTCCCTTTCGGGAGCCCGAGAGGCTGGATGGGGGCGGGGAGGGCGTCTCCGTCGGGCTTGGGGAGCCTGAGTCCGCCCGCTCCTTCGGCCCTGTCGCCGCCGCCGGGGCTGGCACTGCACCCGGGAATCCCCGACCGGCCCGGGGCCGACCCTAGTCTGCGAACTTTCGTGGGGCTTGTGCCGTCCAGCTCCCGGGCGGCCCGCGACGATGCCCCGTGGGGTCTGCGGGCAGGTGCGCGTCAGCGTGGGGATATCGCCCGGAGCCCGGGTGAGGGCCATCCTTGGAGCCCCGGAGCTCCGCGGAGGGCGCAGCGAGCCTGGCTCCCGCTTTGGGTTTGAGAGATGTTAGGGAAGAAAAGGTTCCCGCTTGGCGATTGCCGGGTGTTGACATCCCAGAGAGCTCCCGGTTTGCTTGGAAGTAGAAGAGGAAGGTAGAGGTGAACGTCGACCTTGTGGGGCGCATGTCAGCCATCCCGAGGGGTCGCGAGAGCCGGCCGCGGGTGAGGGCAGCGCCGGCGGGAGCTGGGAGGGAAGGGGTGCACTAGACACCAGCGCCTGCTGTCAAGTTCTTGCCGGTCGGTCGGTGGGAGACCCGCTGCCTCCGCGTTCCCTACACCTTCTGACCTCTCTCCCCTCCCCGCCTCGGCCCCTTCCGGGTCACCCAGCGTTGTTTTGGCGCTTTGGCGCTTGCTGTCTCTTCTCCCTTTCTCCACCGCTACTCCTCAGCGAGGAATTATTAGCCAAGTTTCCTCACCCAGCTTCCAAAAATCAAATCAGATTCCGTATTTGTGAACAAGCTCTTCTTGACACTACCCGTATACCCGTATTTCCAGCATCATCGTTTTATTAAAAATCCATAAAAGCTGCCCCTTAGATGTATCTCATTTCCCACGACACCTGCTTGCTTGTCATTTTCCTTCAGACATCTGCTGTTGTTCACCCCTTTAATCTATTTTTATGTGACAACTATTATTTTAATTATTCTGGTCCCATTGATATCAAGATCTGTCAATTTGGGTTGGTGGAGTTTTTAATTAATGTGCCCGTTGAATCATGAGCTTAAAATAATCATTGCTGCTCCTGAGCAGTTTTGAATAATATGCTCTCCGTGCTTGCAAGACTTAAAAAAAAAAATTCACTGGTGTTAGATTTGATTTCCATATCAATGGAATTCCAAAATATTTTTGAAAATACAAAATTTAATCTTTCAGTCCATGTTTTGTTACTCAGATCACTTTATTGATAAGTCTTTAAAACAGCTTGTAGATCATATTTGGAAGGTTTGGAAATTTCCTGGGCAGGATTTGAAATTGCCTGTATCATCTGAAGCTGGATCTATAGAAGCATTTTGGTTTTGATGGTAGATGTAGCCAATGAATTAATGAGTTAAAACTGTAGTTAAATTTGTTCTTTATTCCACCCTCTGAAGAATGAACAGGTCTTGTAGAAAAGCACTAACCTGGGAGTTAGGAGGTGGACATCCTGGTTCTAGTTTAGGCTTCATGGTGGTTCCAGTTGGGGCAAGTTACTAAATTTTTCTAGATTCTGTTTGCCTCCGGTGGAAAGTAAGACAGTTGAACTAGGTGATCTCAAAGGTTCCTCTGTTCTAAAATTCCGTAAGTCTCTAAATATTTAATACATTTGAATTTAGGTTGGCATTTACCTCCTGGCACCTCCAGAATATCTGAGCTGAAGCCCTATTTTCATAGGAAAGTTAAGCAGATCAACAGATGGTGTTTTAAAGGATCCATTTCAAATGATTTATAAAAATGATGATTACTCACGAGTTTGTCTGCTATTTGCAGAAGTGGTTTGCATGCCACAGGGCAGGAAAAGGAAGTGGCGGTGTTTTCAGATTTATCCCTTCACACCAACAATCTCTGTAGAATTTATATGCTAAAAGATGGACAAGCACCATAGAAAGACTTGGCTGTATTAACAAAACTGCATATGAAAAGGTAAAAACTAGATATTTAGTATCTCTCTTTGGTGTAAGGGTTGTAATATATCTTTGAGCTTTCTTTGTGATTTTATCATCAACTCTCACTGTGGTAGGAGAAAGTCAATGTTAAAGAAACAGTTTCTGCCCGTGATTATATGCAGTGATTTTAGGAAGCATCATGATAACGAAAGTAGGCACTTGCAGGGAATTAAAATATCCTTTCTAGACCCTGAGGTTTGGTTGGGATCTAGGGACACAAGCATGTTATCCTTCCCCACCATCTTTTTTCATTGTCACCTTATCACAAGACTCAGATTTATCCCAAATACCCACCCTATCTTTTCTTTCCCCCTCATGAAGTAAGTCCTGCTCTGACTCAACCCCCTTCAGCATCTCTTTCTCCCTGCACAAAATGTCCTATCTCTTTCCTCACCATCTCCTCCTCTCCTCCCAGTGAAGAGAAAGCAAGTGGACCTCTCCTCTGTCCCTTTTCTTGGCCTCTTACCATGAACAAGAGTCTGGCCTCTGGTGGCAGAAGATCCTATGGCTTGGGTTTGGGCCGTGTGGGCTTGGACATGTGCTTGACTCCTCTGACCTTAGGCTTCTCCTCTTGGTGTAATGGCAGTGCCTGCCTCATGGAGTCTGTGTGGGGATTAAGGGAGATGGTGCGTATAAAATGCCTGTACACAGGAAGCCTTTCCTTAGTGCCAGCTGCCATTCCTTCTCACCTCTGCCCAGGTTCTGTCACCAGAATATTATTTGTGCTGTTTGTCCTTAGTCTTCCCCACCTCACTCTGAAAACCTTAGGCTTGATTTAGAAGAGGAAGGATGGAAGAGGCAAAAACAGATGTGTGGTGAGCCTGCTGTTTGCCAGGCAATCTACATGTGTCTTTACTTGGTACTCAGGTCCATATACCTCTCTTTCCTTCCTCCTGCCCATCTCCCCCTCTCTCCCATCTCCTGCCCCATTCTTAGTACCTGCCCTCTGGCTTCTCTCCCTACCATCCTTCTTTATATTTCTTCTCAAAGTTTTCTCCAAAACTTTGTCTTGAGTTCCTGTGGTCTATCTGCCCATCCTTATTCCTGAGCAGTTGTTCTTGGCCCTTCTGCAGTTTTTTTTTTTTTTGATCAGGGTCTTACTTTTGTCCAGGCTGGAGTGTAGTGGTGCAGTCATGGCACACTGCAGCCTTCTAGGTCTCAGGTGATCCTCCTGCCTCAGCCTCCAAGTAGCTGAGATTATAGGCACGCACACCAAACCTGGCTAATTTTTGTATTTTTAGTAGAGATGGGGTTTTGCCATGCTGCCCAGGCTGGTCTCAAACTCCTGGGCTCAGGTGACCCACATGCATCAGCCTCCCAAAGAGCTCGGATTGCAGTCATGAGCCACCTGGCTCAGCCCCTTTGAAGCTTTTACCTCACCTGTTTTTTGCCCCTTGAAATCCTTTCTTCCCTCAGCTTTTGGGTCATGCTGGTTTCTTGATTCTCTTCCTGCACCCCTGTAAAGATAAGTGTCTATCCTAGCCTCTGCTAGTCACACAGTCCCCTGTGGCCCAGGATCCTCTCTCTAGCCCTGACCTGTCTCTCCTGTGTTCTGCTAACAGGTCCATTGTGGACATTAATGGCAGCCTATAACCTGCATTTGTGGTTACAGGTTTGCAGACTGCTTGCAAGCACCATCCCATTGAATTCTCTTGACACACTGGAGCCTACATCCCTTAATTCCCCAAGCTGCCCTAAAAGGCACTCAGGTTGGGTAGTTCAGCGTACAGACTCTGGAGCCAGATTTCACATGCTAAGTATTCCCTACTGGCTTGGTGACTTGTGGTCAAGTTTCTTTTGCTCTCTATGCCTTGGTGTCCTCATCTATAAAACTGGGATCATAGTAGCCCCTACATCAAAGAGTTGAGGTGTGGATTAAATGAGTTAAAGCATTGGAAAAAGTGTGCCAGTCTATTCATGGCACATCGCAAACACTCAGTGAATGTTGCTGTCAGTCTTGCTGTTCTTCGTTGCCTTGCTGGGGTGCCTTGGCCTGGCGTGCAGTGGTCTCCGTATTCAGCCTGCCTGTCTGCCAGACCTTGCTGTGTCCCTGGACTTTCCAGTCAGGCTTAGGGGCTGTCCACTTCCTGTACCAGCCCTTGACCTAGTCCATCCCTCAATTTTCACATGTCCAAATCCTCCTCTGCTTTTAGGACCCAGTTCGGGGCCTTGGTCCGGCAGAACCATTTCTTCATTTTGTTTTCCTTCCTCCCCATACCTGGCAGCAATGTCCTCATTGATTTTTCTTCAGTTCTCTTAGGTTCTGCTGCATTCCATATTGTGTTGGGCTGTCTCTGAGAATATCTCACCTGCTCACTCAGGCTGAGCATTCTGGGAGGAGTTTATCTTGCTTTCCCCAAAATGACAGGCACAGGGAGCCTTTAGGCTATGTACATTTCAGTTAAAGATCTTGAGGAGCAAGAGATGGGATGGGGTGGGCACTCAAGGATGGAGCAGGTAGAGGGAAGAGGATGCACA